GGAGCGGTCGAAGAGCGGATAAGCTTTCGAGAGCACACAACGCGGTTAGGAGCATCGGTCAGTGGCGCGGGTGAGAGAGGGACCGAGAGGGGGGCGGGTAATTAGAATAATTCGGGCCGCCGTGGTTCACGCCACCCGGACGAATTTGCATTTTAAATGAAGCGATGGCGTGCCAGGGGCCCCACCGTGCCGGTCGGCAGAAGAAGAGAGAAAGAAACTGCGAGGAGAAGAAAGAGAGAGAGAGAGAGAGAGAGAGAGAGAGAGAGAGAGAGAGAGAGAGAGAGTAAGCGAGCGAGAGCGAGCAAGAGCGAGCGAGTGAGAGGGGGTGGGGCGCGGCAGAGAACTTTGTGCTTTATAAGGAACTTTAATATTTATCGCTTATATCCCGACCGAATAAGTATATGTATATATCCGCCCCTTCCTTCCTTCGGGGCCACCGCAGTCACGGGACTCGGTGGTCGCTGCTCATGCTCGTGTTCATGCTCATGCTGAAGCACAGCCCGCAACTTCCTTCTCGTTCCTTCTTCGTCTCACGGTCTCTTTCGATCGCGACCTGCTCCCCCGCCCGCCCCTTACCCTCCATCACTCTACCCCCCGCCCGCTTCGCGATGTCGGATGATTATCGCGTAATTAGCACCGCTGATTTTCGCGTTGCGTCATCGCGCACGCACGTGCGACAGATGATCTCGCGATGCGATTGCCCTGTCGATCCGTTGGACGCACGGCATTTCGCCGGTCGGCTCTTGTCGTCGATATCATCGAGATATCGGCCGGATGGAGGTCGTCGTAGGGATGTTTTGTTTTTTCTTCTCTCTTTTTCTCGTCGCTCAAGCGCGCGCAGGTAATCAAGTCGAGTGCGTCGATAAGTGTCAGCGGAAATTTGTGACGAGAGAGAGAGAGAGAGACCGTGAGGAAAACGCGTCGCTGTCGCACGTACGAGCGTGCCACGAGCGCAGATTTACGCCCGGGAATGTTATTTATTTGGGTCAGATCATTATCGGCTTTTCAACGCCGAGGCGAGGAGTAATGCGTAAAAATATCTACCTGTGGAGATATGCGAGTCTTCGCTGATACGAACGCGCTGGAGAACGCGTCCGACTCGCGACACACGTCCAACGCGCACGTCCTACTTGAAAGCGACTGAGCTAATTTCACGCAATTCACGCGCAAGCAAATTCAGCAAACACGGCCGCCGGATTCACGGTCGATCGCGGTGGCAAGTAGTTCGCGAAGTGGAAGCGGTCAAATCGCCGCGACATTCGCCGGCCTATCATAGGATAACGGATTTCACATCGGCGAGTCGCGAACGCAGCGAGGGTGAGTTTTTCTGATGGGATATCCGAGACAAGTATGGACGTTTATACGAAGGTCGACATTGAGTTACGACGCGAGGTGTAGGCATAGCCGCGCATCGCTCTAATTGGCAAGAAACTCGACGGATAATTTATTTATTCGAGCAGGGCGCGCGCGGCCACAATTACACGCGGAAACGTTCGTCACGGTGGCGGTTCCCGCGAGAAAGCAAGAGACAAATGGGAACCGTGTGTGTGTGTATACCTGTTGATTTTTATGCGGTCGGTACTCTCCTCAGCTTCTTCCGAGTGATATCCGCTCTTCTCGAGAACCTGCTCCTTCGCGCACCCCTCGAGAGACCGGCCAGCTTCGTTACGTGCGTTGTGCGGTGGTGGTTGTCCCGTTTGCCGTTCGTTGGCTCCTGATGGCGCCTGGTTGATGCCTCTCTTCTCCTTGATCGCCGTCAGTTCGCCGACATTGTACAACGTCACGTTGCACCTCGTGCTACGTCCCACGAGACGATTTCGCGGCGGGACGACACGCGTGTGTCGTCTTGGTGTGCGTCGCGCGCTCGACTCGACTCGACTCGGGCCGCAGGAAATGACTTCGCTTTCACGGCAATGAGACGTGGATGTGACACGAAAGCCGGAAAGACGGAAAGAGAGAAGGAACGGCGGAGGAAGGGAGATGCGCGGATGACTATATAATGGTACACCTACGGGGACACGTCAGATGCCGACAGGAAGATTTCTCTCCCGACGACCACCTTCCACTATGTCGCCCGCCGAGCCAATGATCTGCGCCTCCTTATCCCTCTGTGCTTCCTTCCTTACTTTTATTTCGCTCTGATTATTTCGCGGAAGTGTGCGATCGCCTGTCAACGCACCTTCTTCTCACCCCTCGAACGCATCAAATGTAAACCAAGTCACCGAGGATGTGTCTCTGTATTACTGTAGGACTGTCGCGACGATTTTCGAGTGCACGAACCCGCGTTGGTCCTTTCAGACGTATCTGACCATTTCAGGAGACAGATTTAACTCTTTCGCGAGAACTTGTGAGTGATTGCCTGGTGTTTTAATCTCGAAAGAATAATATCGTACGAAGAGAGAGACTCGACACCTTTCTTCCGGTTTTCCCACCGTCGGTTCTAATAATCATCGACGGAATGTCGAGGTCTTCACGTAGTTGTTCCACTTGCACCAAGAGACCGGCTCACTGGTAACCACGCGTTCAACTTCCGACTGTTCTTCCCGCCGCCTCAAATTATCCGCACTGGGATTGTCCGAAGGTGAGCTTCGCCCCGTGCCCCTCCATCGGAAGCCGCAGACCCGATCGCGATCGCCCCCCTCCCCCGACTTCTTCTTCCCTCTTCTCGACAGGTTGACGCTTCTACCTCGTGCTCGAGCCGCAGCACGTGCAGCTACTCTTGGTAGCCGGCGGAGTGGCAGGTCCGCGCGACGCGAGGGCAAACGCGGTGGACGACTGCGGTCGGCCGGCGAACGCGCTCGAGGAGAAGGACGAGCGCGTCGAGGTGGAGGCAGAAGGGAGCGGGACGCAGGTACCAAGCGCGGCAAGGGCGCGAGAGCGGCGAGAGATATACGCGCGGCGAGGTAGCCGTGGCAGAAGTGCGAGCGAGCGAAGAAGAAGAGGTAGAGAGACGGGTAACGAGAGGAAGAGAGCGACAGAGAAAGAGAGAGAGAGAGAGAGAGAGAGAGCGAGCGAGGAGAAGGAGGAGGAGGAGTGAAGGGGAGACAGAGAGAGAGAGAGAGAAAGAGAGAGAGAGGGAGAAGAAGAGAGCGAGAAAGAGAAATGCTCAGGACAAGATGAGATGTGGACCACGCGGAGGACACGACGTGTCTGAAGTGGGCTCGGCCCGCAAACGGGGGTTACGGGCTTTGCTTTCGGTCAGGTCCCCCGTACCCTCTGCCTGCCACCGCCCGTGTCGTCTACCGCTCGGGTACGCACGTTGTGTGTGTGTGTGTGTGTGTCGCGCGTGTGTACACGCTGGACGACGAGGTGAGGAAAAAGAGAAAGAACGAGCGAGGGACGCGCGCGAGAGAGAGCGTAAGGGCGAGCGAACGGGAATATGAGGGCTGCGCGGGGGAAGGGAGAAGATGACGGTAGCGTGTCGTCGCGTGCTGGATGTTGCAGGCCCGCGTGGCCCGTGGCTCGTGGCCCGTGGCCCGGGTTGTGCCCACGGCTGCGGAGCGAACTGTGGCCCGTGGCTCCCGCTGAGCGAAAGAGAGAGAGAGAGAGAGAGAGAGAGGAGAAAGAGAGAGAGAGAGAGAGGTGGCAAGATTGGAGGGGTTGACTCGCTCGAGGAAAGAGAAAAAGAGAGAGAGAGAGAGAGAGAGAGAATGTGTATGTATATGTATGCGTGTGTGTATGTGCATATGTACCTGGGGGTGGGCGGGCAAAACGCGCGTTCTCCCTCGTACTACTCGCCGTTACCTTGCCTCCTCCACCGGGTTCCTCCGAAGAGCTCTTACTCCTCCTTCTTGCGCCACCACCTTCTCCGTTCTTCTCTCGCATTCGTTCGTTCGTCCTGTACGCACGCACGTTCGCGCAAGGGTAGTCGGAGCGGAGTCGCTCTTTCGGAGGTTGTTCCGTGACGTCCCCCTCCGCGTATCGTGGATGTAATTAAAGGGTTTTCACGAGCGGGACCCGCAGCGGCGTATTTCGTGGGCCCACAGGAGATGCCCGAGATACGGCTAAACGATAGTTCTCTCCAACGAAGGGTATCGATTATGCGTCGCGAGATGTGCTCGAGTCGATTTCCCCGCTTGCGACTTGTTCCCTTTATACCTCAGCACTCTCCGTATAACTCGTTTTTCATTTAAATCAGTCGCGTTATGCTTATCGTGCCCCTTCTTGCCGTGCTGTTATATGCGGCTCGCGGCCGCGAACTCCCGCGGCCGTTATGCGTGACAATTACGTCTTCACAGCGTGCGGCGTGTTACGTCCAAAGTTTTTCAACGCTTCGAAACTTTTTCACTGTGACGCGCACGCAAACACGGACACGATTTCTCTCGCACGACCGCCCTTTGTTGATGCAACAATTCCCTCTATGGTGAATTTAATAAATTCGTTTCCCCTGCGCTTCCCCCTCTCTCCCTGCCCAGAAGTGATCACGTAGCCTCGTATCGATTCATTCGCAACGCGCGTAAATCGCGCGCGCACGCACTTGATCCGACGCGGAATTTTCGGGGCGTTCAATGTCAATAGGACGAAGGCCGGGCGAAAGCAAGGTTTAACGCGAGCCCTTTGTCTTTCGTTTGACGTTCGCGAAACACGCGAGACGTTGCGATGCGAGAGAGGCTGTTGTGTAATATTCCGCAATTCCTCTTAGGAAGACGTAATCGACTGGGTGTTCAGACACGCGAGTGTCCGCGAGCACCGATAGGTCCTCCGAGTTCCACGAAGATCCAAGTACAAGAGAGAACGATCGTCTCGCGAATTCCCTAGCCGGTAACCGAAACGATTCGAGTCCCAGTCCTTGGTCCGAGAGTTCTTACGCAAGGGGCGTACCTTGTTTCGACAATTATATACCCCGATCCCTTGTCTCGTGCGCCGCCACCACTGTTTAAGCGGCTTCTCCACGGGCGATCCGCGAAATGTCGGGTTCGATACGTCTTTTCGATCACGAAGGACGCGAAGGTCGGATGGTACATCAGTCATCTCGCCGAGAAATGGTAATTTGCGACTATACACGCGCGAATATTTAGCTGGCCGATTTTCTCGCGTGCTTCGCTTTGCTCATCTTCCGCGATTTTCGTTCTACCCGGTCCCCCTTTTCTTCAGGATCCTGTATACGTAGCAGAAACGTAGCCGGATAATTACAACAGAGAATACCGCGAATTTATTAGATCCCCTAGAAATAATTAGAGGTTTCCGAGCGTACACAGGCTCTGAGAGAGAGAGAGAGAGAGAGAGAGAGAGAGGGAGGAGAGAGAAAAAGAGACATTCCTCGTCGATGAGGTACGAGTCAGCGTGTCGGCAGTACACGAGTTCTCTGATGTTTAATGTACGGGGTGTCGAATGACAAATAAACACGAGGGTAACCGCCGGACCCTGTAACAACCCCCCGTGGAGTGATTGTCGGATCCCTTGACTCCAGGCAGACTCCCTGTACCCTTGTGTCTCTAGACGACCGTGCGCAGGTTGTACTCGTTCACGGATCATCGCCTGTTAATCGGTGGTTCCAGGCTCGTTGCGGTCGGCCCAAATGTTACAATCGTCCGATTTCTCGGGCATCTACGCGCGTCCGTTCCGTCTCCTTCCGATTTTCACCTCACGATGAAACAAGAAGTCGTCCTTACCGGAGTTTAAATTAACCCAAGTCGATGGAATCTTCCGCGAGTAAGCTTCGCGTTTCGCGATCAAAGCGGCACTTTACGCCCACATATTCGCCACGTATCGTCCGACCGTATCTCGGGCGTCTCCTGTTTGCACGATTCGCGCGAAAGTCGTTAAACGAAGAGAGGGAAGGAAAGGGACGAATTTTAGGACTATTATCGGTTGGTTGCCGCGCAGGTAGAACGGAACCTCCGAACGGAAACTAGGGTACGAAATTACGTAACCGCGTTCTTATCAGATTCAACATAACAACGGCGATGGGACAACCCCTAACAAGAAACAGATCAGATCATTGCGACAAATTAATTTATGGTCGCTGCGCGAGCGCGGCTGCTCCAAGGAGGGAAATTACGAGGCGTATTTGACTCCAGGCTGGTGCGAATGTGTCCTGTGCCAGGACAGGTGAGCGATTTCAACCCTCGGTACGTCCTGCCCGCCCCGGCTTATCTGACGAATTTTGCTAGCGACGCGGTTCTCGTCTGAAAGAGACCGATATTCCTCGATGTGTTATAATTAGGTGATATCTTGCCGAGGACGAAACGATCGCTTCTGTCTCTCTTTTGTCCGCCGACGTAATCGCGCGAAATTCGCGCGACCAATTCATCCATGAGCGATATTTGACTGTAGCCTGCTTCCGAAAACAAAGCTTACGAGTACCTGCTCTCTCGATCGCGCGATTTTTTCGATCTCACCCGAAAACACGCAGCTGCCTCCTGTCAATCCGTCCAAGATGTTAGGAACGCGCTTCTTCCCATTTTATTGTCCTAGAGAGATCGTCCCTCTCTTCCCACCACGGCTATAACACCGCAGATTTCACGCTCGCACCTCGATCAAATATTAATCTCATGGATAAAATTGTAATTTATGAAGAGGCAATATGGGACGCGAGGAAGTCCGCGAAAAAAAGGTGATCAAGTGTGTGCAAGGTGCATCCGTTGTTTCTACGAGACTATTAGGACGAAGCAGGTAGCCGGACGTATCTCGCATCTCTCCAATGTGTACGTCGGGGCGACGTGCAAACAAATTTTCAGGTGATCCTTTCTCGTACGCGTGTGCTAACGATTTCTCGAGCGAACGAGCAAACAGTTCGAAAAAATTCGAGCTGTTTATACGATTGGGTGGCCACAGTTATGCAAAAATGATCCAATCCTCAAAATTATGATTTTCGAGGTTTTAGGGGTTACGAAAGTTCATGCGTCTTTCTACATAAAATAAAAAAGCCTTATGGGTGTCTGAAATTAATTATTTTTTTCTATTTTTTACTAATTACGTCATGTATCAAATTTTCATCTTCATTTTTTTCGAAACGTACTCCTTTTGTGTGAATTGGATCATTCTTGCATTCACTGCGGCCAAATTATCAACGGCGAGGGTGCATTTAATGTTATTCTTTTCGTCGATATCGCGCATTATATTCGTATCAGACGGATATGGCTGGCGGGATTAAACTGTTACGTCCACCCTCTCTTCCACTTACTTACCCCGTCAGATACCCCGAGCTTCGAATTCCGGTCGAAGCCTGAGGCAGCGTCGATTCCCGGAGTCGTAGGATCGATGGCCAACGTATAACCCCGCGCCTCGCCCCTACCAACCCCCGGAGCCGCGGCGCGCGGTCTCTCTTAACGACGATGATAATATCGCGCGGCCTGAGTGGCCCGATGACACCCGCGCTGATAGAACCCGACCCCGGCATTGGTCAGCCCGCCGGATGGATGGTATTAGAGGGTTTCGCCGATTGGCGGCTCTTTGGAACGCCCAGGAAGGATGCGCAGCTGCTGGGACATGCGTAATCCGTCCGCTGATCGACGTCGAGGGAGTAAGCGCGACGTAACGATCATTCCTACGTAGTGTGGATGCACCACCACCATTCCTGCCCTCCAAGCGACACTTGACACTCGCGATCGCTCCCCGTCGTTGCCTCTCGCTTCCCGAGCGCGACGCGGCCACATCGAATTCGAACTCGGATCGATCCGGCCGAGCCCATCCCGCGTAAAAAAAAAAAAGAAACTCATCGCTGTCGTCGCGTGGAGACGAGGGAACGTCCAGCACACGTTGGAATTTGCAGTTGAGAGTAGCAAACGCGAGTAAATTCCGCTCGCAAGTTCCGCTATAAATCGAGCCGCGCACTCTTCTCGGGGTTACAAGGGTCGCGATGCAGTACCGTGGCCGCGTCGCAGGTGCGTTGCAACAGACAAACAACGAGCGCGTGGAAACGCGCGCGGGGAGAAAAAAATCTCCGCTTTTCGGGCGCGCGGTTTCGGGGAAACACACCGAGAACGTTCGGTGCGAGCCATGAATTTCGATAATTGCGAACAATTGCTTTATTATCCCGACAGGTGCCAATAATGGGCGGTGCTCTCGTCTCTCGTCTCTCGTAGCTTCGTTATACAAACACAGCTCATCCTATTTATCTCGCGCGTTTTTCTTACATCGCATCCCTTCGAGAAAGCGCTGCAGGGCGCGAAGCGCGCTCATCATCGACCGGTGCGGCACGGAACGTGAGGACGAAACTGCTCCGGAGAGAATTTTATAGTGAAAATTATTATCGAATTTTGTAACCAAAGATCAATATTTCGTAGTAATCGACTCTCCTTTCATATGCGTTACTCATATCTCAAAAACTGAAACGTATTATTAAAAAATTTGCTGTATTTCCAGTAAAAATTAATTCCTTATTCCTTTTTATCGATCAGAATATCTCTAAATGTGACTTATAAGTTTTCTGATTAGCTTCGAAAAAAGAGTGACTTTTGCGCAAAATAAAACACACAAAGCTTACAAAAGACTATTAATGTAGGAATGATCGTTACGGTCTGCGAAAGAAATGGTCTGCTCGCGTGTACGTTTCTAAAGCAATATTGACAGGTGGATTAAATAAATATTTCGCGATGGCAAATGTTGATTGAGTTTCAAGTCCGAGCGTTTGTCGTAACAGCGCCATTGGGCTTACCGTAGCTCCTTTTTACGACGAGTTCACAGTAAGGGCGCGCTCTTTCTCAAGGGACGAGCAAGGAGAAAGAGAGGTATCCTGGCAAATCGTAAAAAGGGAAAGGGCAGTCCCTTCTCGCCAATTACCAGCGGTGTGCCAGAAAACGGACGCAAAAACAATTGTGGAATAAGAAAGAGAGAGAGAGAGAGAGAGAGAGAGTGGACGGTGCTTAGCGCAACACCTCGCAGCTAAGCAGAATCAACCACGTCGTTAAAGGCAGCCCCGAAATTGTCGAACAAGGTAACGAAACGCCGCGGTCGCGTTTATCGCGCGAAATTACATCGTTGTTATCTCGATGTTTGCTGTTTGACTGTCCAGAGTGTCAAAATTGCCGCTGCCACGGGATATGGGTGTCTTTCCGAATCGCGCATTGGCCCGTGCCTTGCCCATGTTGAAGTGCAGTTCGTGCAGTTAATTATCACGCAACTTCGAGTAAAGAGTTTCAACTTTTCTCGCCTTCTTTTGTTTCTCTTTGCTTTTTTTCGCTATTAATATCGCGGATGGATAGAGAAGCAGTTGGTCGTACGATGGTCGCGCTGCGAGCAGTAGAAATTTGCTTTGAGATTGATTATCGTTGGGTTTTCTCAGGGATGGTAAACGCGAGACCGAGAGGAACGAGCGGCCGTCAGTCGATCTTTCTCGTCCGTGTCTAATCGTAGATAATCTAGCGTGTTTTTGGCGACTTCGGCGCGGCTTTAATAGCTTCCTAAGGCGGCACAACTATTATTCTTCCGGGAATAGACAAACTCTCGCACCTGCGCCCGAACGGTAGCGAATTTCTTCGAATGTCGATGAGCGAGCACGTTGCAATTCTCCGATCTCTACTTCCGAAACTAACTTTTGCGCACATCGCGCATAGAGGTTCCGCTCAGTTAAAATTTTGACCTGGAAGAGACAATATAAAAGAAATCGCATAACATAAGTAGTTTTTCAACCTGAACTGAGATTTTGATTCCCCTTTCGACCTCAATATTCCATTTAATGCCTACTTTAATACTCTGCAATTTATATTAATCTCTTTTGATTTTATTTAAGTTAGAAAGATCTAGTTGTTAGAAAATTCAGGTCGAAAGTAGGGCTAAAATTTCGAGTCAGAGATCGCTCGGCAGTTGTCCGTCAGTCTGCACCTAACGCGTTAAAAACGGCACCTCAGCACCGCCGGTGAGTTAAAGACTGGGCCAAGTGTGCGACACGCAATTACGATCTGTATCGATGACTCACACTGACGAACTATACATACTGATGACACCCAGAAGGAAGAAAAAAACGTTCTTCACCTATACTTACTTCGCTGCGCACACCTGATGGGCGCGAGCCACGGAGCGACTGCATTTACGTGTTAATTATGCGCACCCGGGTCGCAGCACCCTTTCCCGTCGCCGCAATAAAGCGATAAATTACAAATCAGACCCCTCGGTCTCGCGGGCAAAACATCGCGACGCGTTTCGTTTCGTATTCGTGCTTCGTTATTATATAGGCAGATGCTAAACGCCTGTGCCCCTCTGTCTCTTATCTTCGCCGCCTTCCTTTTAAGCGCGCCTCTTTTCTATTTTTTTTTCCTTACTCTTTCGCATCTCTCTCTGCTCCGCGCACACATCCTAGCTCTCACGCCTGCCACATATCTTTAAAGCACTGGTCGCACGCGTGCTCGCCCGTACCTCGATATATATACGCCGGGGTGAGGTTCTTAATGAATTTCTACGCGGCGGACGTGCGGCCACCGAGATATTAATCGAAGGTGGGTAAGGCGAAGTAGAGCTCGCTCTCTTTGATACGATTTGATACGTTCGCGCACGCCCATCGTTATTTGAAACTTCATCCGGGTATCCATCGCTGCGAAAAGGACGAGCCGCGATACATACTCCCGAGCGCGTCAATCGAAAGTGCCGGGATAAAAAGTCGGCAAAACAAAAACTTGGCGGGCTTGTGAATAGAGTGTGAAATTTGCATTAACTTTATTTACGCGTGCAGCGCGCGTCCGAAGCCGGCGTTGCATCGCCATTACTCTCTCTCTCTCTTTCTCCCTCTCTCTCTTCCTCCTTCTCTCTCTCTCTCTCCCTCTTGCCGCCGTAAGCCAAAAAATTCCGATCTTTATTGCGCGGGTATCGCGACGCGGGACGCATCGAATTTTTGCGCGCGAACGCACGATATTAAAACATCGAAAGTCAAGATCGGGTCGGCGGTGGATTTCCTTTTGCTCCGTTTACTCGATTTCTGTCTGGCAGATCCAGACGGCGATATATATATGTATATATATATATATATATATATATA